TTAAAGCAGTCCTTAAGTTCGGGTTGATTATTTATATTACTATTTGCCACTACATGCAGTATTCTTCAAAAATAATATCCCCTTAACTAAACCCCAGTATTACGCATCACCCTTCTAGCTTAATATCTGGAGTATAACTATACGAATTTATTACTATTCATATGATATATCCTCAAATATAGTACCTACTTTCTCTGGTTCCTTATACAGTTACCCACAGGCACTATTCAATTTAAAAAATGAAGTTTATAAATAAAAACTAATATTAAATTTTTATTAAATTTTTTTATAGCTTTTAAAAAATCATACTGAAATTATTTTAAATAAGGCTATGTTTGATTTACTTCAAAATGATGAGTTTTATTCGAAGTATCGTCAAATAGCATCTATTCTTAAACCAATAAAAGAATTAACTAATATTCTTGAAGCCCACAATGCAAATTTAGCAGAATATTTTATTGGTTTAACAAGACTTGCAACTAGTATTAATAGATTAGAGTCAGGAAATCAGTGGAAAACACCAATGATCAACAATTTTAATCACCGTTCTGAAGAATTTATTAATGATTTCTATATCTGTTATATTGTGGTAATAATAATATATATATATATATTGTACATCAATTTAAAATATGCATTAAATCAAAATAATTATATGTAATATTGCTATGTAATACCTACCCTTACCCTAATGAAACTTTATTGAAATTTTGATTTAATACAAATTTCAATTTGATGCAACATAAGTTATACAACAGAATAAAATCTAAGTAAAATTCAAATCTACATAGTGAAGATTACATATATTAGCTTACAACTTAGATTTTATTCTGTTCTATAAAAAATATTTTTTTAATATTTAATTTTTAATTTATTCAAAAATTTTATTTATAGGTTGTAGATTACAACAAAATGCATTAAATAAAATATATGAAACTGTGTCACTCATTTGGTATAATTTTAAGTATACGGAAGCATCGTGTTTAAGTCTTTTATCAGAAATAAGATTATAGAAGCGTAAAGAACCTCAGTATGATCTTAGTTATAATCAATCTAAAGAAACGCCACTGAAATGATGGATGAGCGTGAATATAGATGTAGAAAATGATCAATTACAAGAACTTGCTTTATTTCTATTTTTAATTGTTTCATCCCAGGTGGTCTGCGAAAGGAATTTCTCTACACTAAAATAGCTTTTTGGAGATAAGCATACACAATTGAGTTTATTACGAATTGAATTCATAGCAAAGATTAGATCTTTTTATGTTTCAAATACAGATAAAGAATTGAGAGTTTATGGTAAAGATATAAATGATAAAGACTTAAGAGAAAATTTAAATAACACTGTAATTATGCAGCAAACTGAAGATTCAGAAATTGAAGACGATAATAATAATGATTCGCAACAAATGTTGACTAATAATTTAAATCTCAGTCAAATCGTTGATTTAACTTTACCCGAATTTTTATCAACTAATATTACTTTATTTGAATCTGCTATTAATAGATTATCTTCTCACGAAAGAGCTTATAATTTAGAACGTAGAGAATATGATCCGATTCAGTTAGTATAGCAAATGATAAATGAAGAAAATAATTTGTAATTCATTAGATATATCAATATATTTTTATCAGCTATATTTTTTTGTGTTTAGAATATATTATCGTTATTGAAATTATTAAAATTTGCTTTTTGAAAAATTATATACGTATGGTAGCATGAATTTGGTTGGTACATAGCAAATTGGGATTCTGGAAAGTTTTAATAGAAATTGTGATTTTTTTAGAGTTGTATATCAAAGTTTGGATATACATTAGCATATTAT